GCAGAATGGTGGTGGTCAGGGACTGGGGGAAATGCAGAGACACTATTCAAAGGGTACAAAGTTTCAGTCATACAGGATGAGTAAAGCCTGGAGATCTATACAGCATAGTGCCTACAATTAATTATACTGTAGTGTATAATTAAAAATTTGCTAAGAGGGTAGATCTTACGTTAAACATTCTTATCATATACACAAAATAATAAGAGAGAAAGAGAGAGAGAGGAGGGAACTTGTAGAGGTGATGGATAGTTTTATGGCATAAATTGTAGTGATGGGTCCATGGATATATAATTATCTCCAAACTGTATGTATCATGTTGCATACACTAAATATGCACAGCTTTTGGTGTGTCAATCATACCTCAGTAGTTTAAATAATTATCTTAAGACCTAAAAGTAAAAACTAAAACAATAAAGCCTTTAAGAGAAAACATAAGAGACTAGATTCATTGTTTAGATGTAGGCAGTTTCCTTATATAGGAAAAAAATAACCAAAAAAATGATAAATTCGACTTCATGGAAATTAAAAACTTCTGTTCATGAAAAGACACAGTTAAGAAAATGAATAAGCAAAACAAAGACTGGAAGAAAACATTTATAAAACAGGTATCTGACAAAGGACTAGTAGTAACCAAGATAATATAAAAAGCATCTGCCTAGGGGCGCCTGGGTGGCGCCTGGGTGCCTGGGCGCCTGGTTGAGTGTCCAACTGTGGCTCAGGTCATAATCTCACAGTTTGTGAGCTCGAGGCCTGCAGTGGGCTCTGCGCTGATGGCGCAGAGCCTGCTTCGGATCATCTGTCTCCCTCTCTCTCTGCCCCTCCCCCTCTTCTTCTCTCCCTCTCTCTCTCTCTCTCAAAAATAAACATTAAAAAAAATCTACCTACAACTCCACAAAAACAATTTTTAAAATGGGCAAATACAGTACAACCTTGGGTTGCAAGTAACTTGTTCTGCGAGTGTTCCTCAAAACGAGCAAACATTTCTAATAAATTTTAACTTGATAAATGAGCGATGTCTTGCAATACAACTAGTATGTGACGTCCAATGTCACATGATCAGAACTGAGCCAATGGTTCTTCTCTCTCTCTGGCTAGCTTGGTGTGGATTGTGGATGATCATCTCCCATGCTTGGATGCTCAGATGTTCTGTCTTAGGACACAGTGTTCGGCAGAAATCAGTGATTTTTCAGAACGCTGGAAGGAGCCCACAACTGGCACTAGTGCATTTTTTGTCCCTTCAAAGCACCCATGGCCAGTCCTTTGCTTTTCCAGACAAGAGTAAGCTTAGGAATGCTCTGCTTCATTCTAGGTCAGGCTGCCTGCAGATACAGACCCTTTCCTCTGCTGCCTTCCTGTCAATTACATTAACTACAGTCTATGACAAGAGTTGATTAATACTGTACTGTAGTCAACATCTGTTAGTAATAGTAAAAGTCATCCTACTCAATAACCCTCCTCTCTCTGGTCTCCCTCACACCAGCCATGAAGGTTTTCAAAGGTAAGTGAAGGTTAACTTCTTTATTTTTCTTTATATTTTGTATTTTATTTATTATTTTGTATTATATTACAGTATTGCAATCATTTTTATATGAATATTTTTGTATTGTGGAATAAATCATCTGAGTTTTCATTATTTCTTATGGGGAAATGTGCTCTGATATATAAGTGCTTTGGATCACAAGCATGTTTCCAGAACGAATTATGCTCACAAACCAAGGTTTTGCTGTATTTTGAAAAGACACTTTATAAAATAAAATACATGAAAGGTAAATATAATTGCAATAAAAAAGTGCTTGGCAAAATTATGCATCAAGGAGACACAAAATAAAAACTACATAACCACAGGATCAACTAAAATTAAAAGAACAATACTGGGGCACCTGGGTGGCTCAGTTTGTTGAGAGTCCAACTCTGGATTTGAGCTCAGGTCATGATCCCAGGGTTGTGGGATCAAGCCCCACATTGGGCTCAGCACTGAGTATTGAGCCTACTTAAGATTCTCTCCCTCTCTCCCTCTGCCCCCTCCCCCACTCGTGCTCGCTCGCTCTCTAAAAAGAAAAAGACCGCCACCAAATGTCAGCAAGGATGTGGAACAACGGGAACTCTCATGCTCTACGTGGGACGAGTACAAAATACTTAAACCACTTTGGGAAAAGCTCTATTAGTTTCTAATAAAACTAATCACATACACGTACCACATTTACCTACTAATCCAAATCTTGGGGATTTCCTCGAGAGAAATGAGAATATATTTCCACACAAAGACTCACTCCAGAGTGTCATTTTCTTCAAAATAGCCAAAAACTGGAAACAGCTCAGGTGTCCATTAATAGGATAACTCATTAATAACTGATAACCAAATTGTGACACCATCACTGAATGGAATACTATCCATCAGTAAAAAGGAACGGACAAGCAATATAAATCAATCTCAAAAATGTAATACTAAGTGAAATAAGCTTTACACAAAAGTACACATTGGAGGACACCATTTATATAAAGTTACAGAATAAGCAACACTATGGCATCACAAAATAAGAACTGTGTGAGTGGCAGGAATTGACTGGGAAGGAGCATGAGGCAGCCCCCTGGGGTAATGATAATGTTCTAAATCTCGATAGGGGTTTGGGTTCCCTAAGTATATGCATTTGTAAAAAACTGAGCAAATACACATTTAAGATTCCTGCATTCATTTCATGGAAAACTTACATCATCAGAAAAACCTATAAAAATACTGAATTCTAGTTAACAATATGCATGTTGCAAGCTAGGGGATGCAAACAGATGTCTGCAATGTACTTAAAAATACGTTAAAAACAGGGGCATCTGGGGCGCCTGGGTGGCGCAGTCGGTTAAGCGTCCGACTTCAGCCAGGTCACGATCTCGCGGTCCGTGAGTTCGAGCCCCGCGTCGGGCTCTGGGCTGATGGCTCGGAGCCTGGAGCCTGTTTCCCATTCTGTGTCTCCCTCTCTCTCTGCCCCTCCCCCATTCATGCTCTGTCTCTCTCTGTCCCAAAAATAAATAAAAAAACGTTGAAAAAAAAATTAAAAAAAAAAAACAAAACAGGGGCATCTGGGTGGCTCAGTCAGTTAGGTGTCCGGCTCTTGATCGGCTCAGGTCATGATCTCATGGTTTGTGAGACTGAGCCCCACGTGGGGCTATGCAGAACCTCTCTCTCTCCCTCCTTCTCTGCCCCTCCCCTCCTCGTGCTCGCTCTCTCTCAAAATAAATAAACATTTAAAAAATGTTAGACACTGGGGCGCCTGGGTGGCGCAGTCGGTTAAGCGTCCGACTTCAGCCAGGTCACGATCTCGCGGTCCGTGAGTTCGAGCCCCGCGTCAGGCTCTGGGCTGATGGCTCGGAGCCTGGAGCCTGTTTCCGATTCTGTGTCTCCCTCTCTCTCTGCCCCTCCCCCATTCATGCTCTGTCTCTCTCTGTCCCAAAAATAAATAAATGTTGAAAAAAAAATTAAAAAAAAAAAAAAATAAAAAATGTTAGACATAAGATAGACTGAGGGACAGAGGCATAGATACATGATAAAACAAGTATACTAAAATGTTAAAAAGAGGTGGCTATGAAAGTATTTACCATAGGATTCTTCCAACTTTCCTGTAAGCTTGAAAATGTTCATAATAAAATACTGGGGCAAAGGGAAGAATAATACAACAGAAATCAAAGAAGGAAGAAATAGCAGAGAATGCTAAGGAAGAAACACCAGGAAGGGAAGGAATAGAAAGAACATGAGAAAAGTATTAAACCCCAAAACCAGTGAGAAAAGCAATGCCAGAGAAGGCAATAGTCCATTGTGTAGAATTCTTCTGAAAATTCAAGTAGTACTGAAACAGCCCATTGGATTTGGTCATAGGAGGGATGTGAATGGAGGAGAGTGAAGCCACACTGAAGCGGAGAGAGAGAAAGCTGTTGGTGAGGAAGGAGAGTAAGAAGAAACCTAGCTGGGAAGGAGACCAGGGAGCTGGGGCTGCAGCTGGAGAAGGATGCGAGAAGACCAAGGACAATACTGGTGCGTGTGGATGTGGATGGCAACGACGCAGTAGAGAATCAGGGCACGTAGGCGGTAGAACCGTGTCCCCCAAAACGATATGCTTCAGTCCTAACCCCCAGCACCTGTAAATGTGACCTTATAGGACCTTTGTGGATGTGATTTAATTAAAATGAGGTTATGCTAAATTAGAGAAGGCCCTAATTCAAGGACTGGTGTCCCTATAAGAAGAGGACACAGTAAGAGGAGGAATTTGGACACAGATCCAGAGACAACGCCATGTGGCAGTGGAAACAGATATTGGAGTGATACATCTAGAAGCCAAGGAATGCCCAGGATTGCCAGCAACTACCAGAAGCTGGGAAGCAAGAAGGATTCTCCCCTAGAGCCTGCAGATAGAGCATGGCCCTGCTGACACCTGGACTTCAGACTTCGAGCCTCCAGAGTTGTGAGAAGCGATTTCTGTGACTTTAAGCCACCGAGTTTGTAGTACTTCGTTACCACGGTGCTGGGAAACTAACACAGGAGAGATGAAGGGAAAAGAGCAAGCGGTGATAAGGACAGGGATCATGTCCTTGAGAAGGTGCCATGGAACCACTTCCAAAGTGCTCAGGGGAGGGGTTGGGCCTTTGATAGTTATCTGGGCCACCCTCTTCGGGCTAAAGAAGTATAGAATCATTCAGGGAGGATCTAAACGATCAAGGGTTTATCCAGAAGCTTTGGACAGAGAAGAATGCTTCAGACAGCCTTTGTAATAGATTTTCTGTCCGTTTAACGAACACACGATATGCAGCCTGCACATTCAAGTGACTAGTCTTCCTCTAAACATACGAGAATCAACCCACGAAACTTAAGTGCAGCGATTCTCTGCCTTCCAAAAGAAGTTTGAGAACAAAGATGAAAGTCTTACCAACAGGAACAGAAGCCAGTGCGCGGCCAAGGGGCGAAACAAAACCACCACACAGAAAGCTTGGTGATCCACATTCGGGAAGCCCCTTACCTTGAGCTGCTGCTGGAGTTCACTGTTCAACCGGGCCAGCACCGCGTTTGCCTCTTTATTTTTGCGGATAGCAGTTTGAATAGCCTTCTTCTGTTTGGAAGACTGTCTATAAAAAAGCATAAACAGTTCAGTGAACTAGAACCCAGAGGTCCAGATCCTTGTGGGTCCAAACACTCGGATTCATGGGAAGTGCTAAACGAACAAGGGACCAATGTCACAGGGCTCCAAAAATAAAATCATACATTCACAGACAGGCAGCAGGCAGGTGCACACCAAATGAAACAAATTTGTCGGGATCAATTATTTACACCTGAAGTAATTCCCATTTTATAACTTGAAGAAAAGCCGTGAATTGGACCTTTTCAAACCTTGCATTCCATTTATTCCCAGACAATTTAATAAGTATTTCTTCCTGACAAACCACATTAACTAGAATGCCCTTTTTGTGTAAGCATTAATGGCATTTAAAAGACCTGCAGGTGGCCCCTGTGGACAAGTCTGAAGGAAATGAATAGAAGAACATTCTCTTTAGCAAAAATCCTACATTAACTTAGCCAGCCTGTATAACTCTCCTTCATTTCTTCATTGTTAGGCATAAACGCTTGAGTGTATGTGAGTATGCTCACATGTGTGCGTTCACCAGCACACATCTGTGGCACGGAGGAAAACAGAAATGTTTTAATACCAGTATCCCCAAATTAAGTCAATAGTAAATTCACAGAGCAGGTATAACTAGGGTGACCACATGTTCCACTTTGCCCATTACAGTCTCTGCTTACACTGCTTGCCTGGCCCTAATTATTCTCAGAACCCTCTTTCTCTTTCAAAGCTGTCTACAGTTGGGATGATAAATCAACGTGACTGCATAACCTATAGCCCTATATCCCACTGCAAAAAACACTGAATTCTCAGAGGAAAAAAAAAACCCAGACATATTTGTAATCAGTGAGAGGTGGGTTCTAGGTGAGAGCAACTCAGCCAGAGTTGCTGGCTGTGGAGACAGCGACCACTGTGGAGATCTGATTAATATTCGCTGAGAATGTACACTATGGTACCCACTCTGCTACCATCTGCAGAAGGCATACTCCCTTCCCCAACAAGTTTAAAGATGAATTTTTTTCCATCCATAAATAGGCATGGAAGAGGCTTTAAAATCTACGTTTAGAAAGATAAGGATTGACCTTCCGGTTTCAGGACAACATAGAGTAGACACACTTCTCTCTACCCACCAAGTACAGTTAAAATCCTGGACATGATATATAAAACAAACATAAGATTACTTGAAAAAGGGGCACCTGGGTGGCTCAGTCAGTTAACTGTCTGACTCTTGATTTTGGCTCAGGTCATGATCTCACAGTTGTGAGATTGAACCCCACGTTGGGCTCTGCACTGACCACGCAGAGCCTACTTGGGATTCTCTCTCTCTCCCTCTCCCTCTGCCCCTCCTTCTCTCTCCCTCTCTTTCTACTCCTCCCTCTCCCCTCCCCCTCTCCTCCCCCTCTCCCTCAAAAAAAATAAACTTTAAAAAAAAAAAAAAAAAGGTTACTCCAAAAAGTGAAGAAGGCAAACCAGCTAGGGAACTTGGTACCCAGGGAAATACATAGCAGTGAATTCCCTGAGTTTTCTTTTTTGCTTCATATATTCCAGACTAGATAGTGGAGAAGTCAGAAATCCATAAATGCCAATAAGGGCAGACATAAAAAAGCACCTTCCACCAAGCCCAAACGCTGCTCTCTCTAGTGAAATGACTTGGAAGGGGGCAGCCTAGCAAGACATAAATTAGGCAAAGTATCTCTCCTGGAGATAGATGCAAAATCTTTTAATAAAATATTAACAAATTGAATTTATCAATATATTTAAATACTATACGCCATGACCAAGAGAGTTTTATTCCAGAGATGCAAGACTGATTTAATATTCAAAAGTCAATCAGTATAATCCACCATCCTGACAGTTGAAAGAAAAAACTCACATAATTGTATCAACCGATATAGGAAAAGCACCGGTTAAAACTCAATACCCATTTCATGATAAAAACTCTCAGAAAACTGTGAATAGAGGCCAAACTGCTCAACTTGATGAAGAATTTCTACAAAAAAAGCCACAGCTAACATCATACATAATGAAAAACTGAATGCTTTCCCCCTAAGATGAAGAACAAAGCAAGGATTTCTACTCTCATTATTATTTTCAACACAGTGCTAGAAGTCCTAGCTAGCACAATAATTCAAGAAAAAGAAATAAAAGGCACACATATTGGAAAGAATGAAACTGTCACTATCTGCCGATGACATGATGACCTATATAGAAAATTCCACGGAATCTATAAAAAAAAAATTCTCAGAACTATTATTTCAGCAAGAATAGAAGTGAGTTTGGAGGACAGAAGATTAACATACAAAAATCAATAGAGTTTTGATACAGTAACAATGAATACTTGGGGGAAAATACAGTATCACTTACAAAGATTCAAACAGAAATTCTTAGATATATCAAAACAGATACAAGATTTACATACTGACTTTATTCCACTGGATGTTTTTTCCTGCTTTGTCAAAGTCTAGTTGGCCATATGTTTGTGGGTCCATTTCTGGGTTCTCTATTCTGTTCCATTGATCCGAGTATCTGTTTTTGTGCCATTACCATACTGTCTTGATGTTTACAGCTTTGGAATACAGCTTGAAGTCCAGGATTGTGATGTCTCCTGCTTTGGTTTTCTTTTTCAAGATTGTTTTGGCTAGTCTGGGTCTTTTCTGGTTCCATACAGATTTTAGGATTGTTTGTTCTAGCTCTGTGAAGAGTGCTGGTGTTATTTTGATAAGTATTGCATTGAATATGTAGATTGCTTTGGGTAGTATTAACATTTTAACAATATTTTTCTTCCTATCCAGGAGCATGGATCTTGCCATTCGCAACTACGTGGATGGAACTGGAGGGTATTATTGCTAAGCAAAATTGGTCACAGAAAGACAAATATCATAGGACTTCACTCATATGAGGACTTCAAGATACAAAACAGATGAACATAAGGGAAGGGAAGCAAAAATCATATAAAAACAGGGAGGGGGACAAAACCTAAGAGACTCTTATGTCCAACCAAACATGGAGAACAAACAGAGGGTTATTGGAGGGGTTGTGGGAGGGGGGATGGGCTAAAATGGGTAAGGGGCATTAAGAAATATACTCCTGAAATCATTATGGGTCTATTTGCTAACTTGGATGTAAATTAGATAAATAAATAAAATGGTAAAAAAAAAAGATTTACATGCTGAAAACTATGCAACACTAATGAAAAATTAGAATCTAAATAAATAGAGAAATATTTATCATGTTCATGGATTGGATGACTCAACATAGTAAAGATACCAACTCTCCCCGGGTTGATACAAAGGTTAACATAATTCCTACTGAAATCTCAGCAAGATTTTTGTAGATCAATACAAAATTACTCTAAAACTTACATGGAAGGTCAGAGGAATCAGAATAGCTAAAACAATTCTAAAAGATCCTAATAAAGTGGGAGAAATAGACATTTTATTATAGAGCTATAGTAATCAAGTAAATAAGTAATGAAGACAGGAATCAGTACTGTGTGGTATTGGCAAGAGGAAAAGACACATAGATCAGCCAAACAGAACAGAGAACCCAGAAACAGATTCACATTGGTACAACTTAGTTTTGACAGATGTGCAAATGTAAGTCAATGGAGCAAGACTAGTCTTTTCAACCAACAGGGCTGAAGCAGTTCAACATCCACAAGCCAAAAAAAAAAGGGAAAAGAACCCTGACCTAATGGATCCAGCAAGTTAAATGTAAAGTGTAAAATTACAAAACTTTTAGAAGAAAAGACACGAGAAAATCTTTAGGACCTAGGGCTTGGTGAAGAGTTTTAGATGCGACAAAAAAAAGCACGATCCATACAAGAAAAAAAAAATCAATAAGCTGGACTTCTTCGAAATTTTAAGAGCTTTCACACTACAAAAGACTGTTAAAGAGGATGAAATGACAAGCTACAGACTGAGAGAAAATATATTCAAAACACGTATCTGGCCATTTATATGTATTTAAAACACATAAGGAACTCTCAAATCTCAACAACAAAAAACAATTCAATTAGAAAACGGGCAAAGGACTTCAAGAGACGTTACCAAAGAGGATATATGATGGCAAATACACACATGAAAAGACGCTCGACATCACTAGCCATTAGGGAAATGCAAATTAAGACCACAATAGGATAGAACTACACACCTATTTGAACAGCTAAAGTAAAAAAAATAGTGACAATACCAAATGCTGGTGAGGATGTGGACACACTGCACCTGCTATACATTGCCGGTGGAAATGTAAAATGGTAGAGCCATTTTGGAAAACGGCGTGGCAGGTTCTTTAAAAACTAAACATATACTCAACACACAACCCAGCAGTCACATTCTTGGACATTTATACCAGAGAAATCAAAAGTTATGTACACATGAGAACCTGTACACAAGATGCTCATAGTAGCTTTATTTACAATTCTGAACAACTAGACACAACCAAAACGTCTCTCGACAGGCAAATGGCTCAACAGACTGTAGTACATCCATACCACAGAATACAGCTTAGCAGTGTGGACTGAGATACATAACTTGGATGTCAAGGGACTGTGCCAAGTGAAAAAAAGCCAAACTCACAAGGTCACATGCTGTGCGATTCTATTTATATAATATTCTCAAAATGATAAAACTATAGATAGGGGAAACAGATCAATCGTTGCCAGGGGTAAGGAATGGTGAGGAGGACGGGGTAGGTCTGACTTCTGTACCTTGATTACAGTGGTGGTTACAAGATTCTACACATGGGATTAAATGACACAGAACTACACATACACTATCCCAATGCCAGTTTCCTGGTTTTGATATTGTACTACAGTTGGGTAAAATGTTATCCATTAGGAGAAACTAGGCGAAAGAACACAGGACTGGGGCACCTGGATGGCTCAGTCGGTTAAGCATCTGAGCTTGGCTCAGGTCATGATCTCGTGGTTTGAGAGTTTGAGCCCCGCATCGGGCTTGCTGCTGTCAGCACAGAGCCTACTTCGGATCCTCTGTCCCTCTCTCTCTG